TTTGTTTTACTGTATACTTATATGCCCTGTATATATACCCACTACGATTGTCCAATGTTTTTTTTTTCAAACCTTGTAAGTCAATATGGTATCATTAGACTCATCCAGCCCCCAGAATCATGATGACACCCCTGTCAGTTCTCCATCCTCCATGAACTAGAAAGTACAATGCTAAGACTTTTGCACAGTAATGCACTGTACTGTCAGCGGGCATGTATTTCTTAATGCTTGAGAAGCGTTCTTTTTTTTCTTTTTTTTTTAAACCCTCTGATTCATAGATGACAGCATTGATTGCCCAAGTGTTGGTCTATGTATAATATGTGGCCTAGGTCTTCATATGTGCGCTTTATTTAAGTTAGCTGCTCAGATTTTTGGCCTCTGACAATGGATGTCGATGACTTTCTGTGGGCCCCAAGCATTTTGGGGCGGCACCTGTGAAGCCCCCCTTCCTCTCCCGTTGACACATTCAGTGTTTAAAAATAACATTTTGGACCACCATTCTCTGGCAGCAAAAGTAAAAGCCTGGCCCTACCCAGCAAGGAGATAACGTAATATTATCCATTATAATTTCATTTGCGATTTTTGGCGGCCCTTAATAACGCCCCTTTGCAATGGCTTTGAAACAATACCTGATCTGACAAAGAAGAAAGGGGAAAAAAAACCTACTGTACTGTGGTCTTCAAGCCAATTATGTATACACTGAATTGAAACTTAAATTGTGTACTGGCCAGAAGAGTACCTGGCAACCTTTTAACGTGTAGCCTGAGTGCCTTTGATTATATTTTATGATTTTATTTTGTTATTTGCCATTTCTGTGAGTAAAACAAGACAGGCATGAATAACCTGCAAGATGGTTCTTGGCTTAGCTGCCTCTCTGTTGCCACACGTTGCCAAAACAGCTGATTGCGAGGTCAAAGTCTGGGCGATGGCATTAACATGTCCAAATATAATCAGGAATTCAGAATAGTAGCACTTAAGGCATACAGAACTTCCACAGTTGAACAAAAATGTGTTCTATAATGCTGGTTATCCTCCAAATTGTTCAGCTTTTGAAACCCTTTTATTCCTCATGAGAAATTAGTGTATAAGTTCTATTCATTCCAGTCACCAGTCTCACAAGTGTGAACCTGAAAACGTCAATTGAACGTTGGAGTAATCATGTAATGGTGCGTGATGACATACGTTTTCTTTTTTTCTTCATTTTTGTGAAATATAAGTAAAAAATATAAATAATATCGATGACATGCTGTACACAATGACACTTGCTGCCTTACTGCTTTGTATGTCTGGATCAACATTCAGTGTTCAGTGAGCCAATGTTTTCAAGACTTAAGACTCAAGACAAAACCCACGCTATCAAGTGACATTTTATAATAGTGTTACCCCTCCTCATTCAACTACACTAACACCTTAATTCATCTCCTTTTCTCTTTCTGTCAAAAAAATTGGACTCTTGTATCACGTGAAAAAATCCCATTTGTACAATTCTCCAATTAAGAGCCAGTGTGGGTTTCCTTGAAGCTGTTTATTTCAAACTGACACATCAAACAAAAGAAAATTCACCAACGTCTAGTTAAATACCGAAATATTTCACCACAAAATATAAATCGAACCAAAGTCTGCAAGCTTAATGCGAACATAAAATGTGAAACACCATAGATGCTCTAATGGAAGCTAGCATGAATGTTACCGTCATTAACTGGTATTTTCCCCAAACACGAAGCAGCAGGCATACAACAAGCAAACAACAGTACTCGAAGGCTCACGTTCTCTGCTCATATGTGAGTCTTATTTGGCTTCAACAATGTGATGCAGGTCAGTGTCATTACTTCCAAACAGAAAGTGACTTTCCAGGAGACTTCATGTGACTTGTCAGCATAGCCCACAGGAGAAGCTCACTGGTGATGACGGGAGTATTGGCACCTTCCGGCAGCCTTCCTCCCTGCTCTCCTTCAGCATGTCACCCGAGATTCTCTGAAGTTTACTGACTGCTTGCATCATCGTCATCGGCAATAATAGCTTTGTTTTCGACTAAACCGGGCAAAATGTCACATGAAATCAGTCTGTGAGTAAATTGAGAAAAACTCATCATACAGTATGAAAACATTAGCGGTACTTTTTGTGACATTTGTTGTTTTGTGGTGTGCAATGGGATTTTTTGTTCCTTGGTTCATAAAAGCTTGTCAAACATGGACAGAGAGCATATTGACTGGCACGACTTTCATGTTTCACTCATTTTCACCTTTGATCTCATTTCATGGCGCTGGTAACACTGTGAAGAGATGATCTGTTTGATGTTGTTTTTTTTTTTTTTTAATTATTTTGATTATTTTCAATCCAAATGTTGGCTTTTTCTTTTCGGAAAGGCTTCAAAGACAGCTAAAGACAATGACTATATTTCATTTCCTTTGCCGATAATGAGCATAGAAGGAGGCCTCCCTCCATATTTTCGAGGTCCCCCTCTTCCCTCACCTCACTTCTTTCCTCCTCGCCTTTGTCTCGCCGCCACCGTCACATTCGGCCGTGACTGCAAATGAGCTTCAGGACAGAGCAATTATTCAGCATTCCTACACTGACATGAAGGACTCACTGTCACTGGTAAATGTTCCAAGTCAGATTACATGTTTAGTGTCAAACCTCAAAACCGAATCTCATATGCAGAGGATAAAATCTGCTCGTGGAAATTCTTGGATAGCTTTTGTCTTGGGGCTGAATTCATGTGGGCCACAAACACACTGCTTTTGACATACTGTAGCTCCCATCCCCCGACACCGGTTGTGCAGCCATTTGTGTTTGCTTTGCACGTTTCAAACTCATCTTTTGTTTTCATCTTTTCCTCTCCCCACCCCCCTGGAATACAAAAATAAGGAATCATTCCCTGATAATATCTGATGCTAAGCTACAGGTTAAAAGGGGAAAAGTGACTGCACTGATTATTTTCACACCTTCATTTCTGTTGTATCAACTCCTCTTTGAATTGATTGAAACTGATTTGGTATTTTGCTGACATACAAATTGCAAATGTGCCATTCTATTTGTGTTCCAGTGACCTTATCAGCATTGTGACTCACACTCCATGGACAAAATTTTTTGGACTTTATCTTTTTAGCACTGGACTGAGACCTCAAAAGTCAAATAATATAATATGCTTGGATGAGTTTGGTGTGAAACAGTGTGATAACCCTAGCCTAGTGCGCAGTATGTTATGAGTACTTTTCTATCTCCCTTTCTTTGTCAATAATTTATTTCAGGTTTCAACCTTCAAAGGAACTATGAGGCGTATAATACACACATCAACTGTGTCACTGACTCTATAGTCTTCCTTCGCTGCAGGTAACATTTAGAATGGTGACGGTGACGTGGCGAGAGGTCGATGATGGCATGTGGGCTGTTGGCGGGTCGCAGCAGATCGCTGCTAGGCTCCCAGTAGTGACGATCTTGCGTGGCTGTCAGAGTGAAACTCACTCGGGGGAGGGATGTTGTTTTGGAGTCAACATTGCTGCTTTTTCCTGTCAATCACTATCATATTTGAATTGGAAAGTTTAATGCACGTGTTGCCAGCATGGGACTGTGAAGCATAATCTCCACAGAAGTGGGAGTAATAGTGATATGTTCAAGTCAGAAGTAAGTCGATTCAAGTCATGACTTGTCTGAAGTAAGTCATACAATCTTGCTCAGTCCACTTTGCACCTGTATTAGTCAGCTGTACTAACACATTCACAATCACTTTTTCTTTGTTTTTGTGTTTTTTTTTGTTTTTTTTCCCCATGGGCCCAAATCAGTCTCCATACTGGCTATTGCTTTATTGTCATATTCATTGAATGTCTAACAGAAATGAAGCTGAGTTAATGTTTGACCAGCAGGTGAGCTAGAATGTAGCTTAGCCTTCCTGCCTTTGTGGGTATGAGAATGATGGATGACATTGGATGTTGTAGTTATTGTGTCTCTTATTTTTGAGTTGTGAACCAAGAATGTTTATTTTATTTCCATGTAATCCTTAAATCTGTCTGTTGTCAACTTCAGAGCTCCCTCTGTTATACTTGTGTAAGTTGAGAAGTTCGTAGTTTTTCAGTGGATAGCTCTACTTTAAAAATGGGCAAAAGGAGAGATGGAATCCTTTGAAGGCAGTTTTTATTTTCCCAACGTCTGCACCTCCGAACGAACGAACAAGAACACACCTCCTTCCCGGAAAAAACACCAAACACTTCCTGGTTTCCTTAACCAATCAGATAATATCAATATAAAATTGTTTCAGCAATTATTAAACAGAATATAACCTAAGTAACTGTAACACAAAAGAACATAATGCTCAAATATAAAAAGAAAATAATTAATAATTTAACATAAGCTTACATTCTTCCCCCTCCCACCAGAGAAATGTCCTCATTTCTACTTTGATCACTTAACTGTAGAATCCAGGTTCCAACAAATTAACAACATTGCACAGGGGGGTAAAAAAAAAGGGCATCAGGAACATACAATCAAATCAGAACTAAGTCTTTGAAACAAGACGAAAGCTTAACTTCACGGCGGCCTGGGCGTGTGATGGAACTGGAACTTAACCCCATTGCTGCAGGCATTTGGTCCACAACAGCAGATCTTTTGGAATGATGAGGTTGCAGTCACTGTCTTCCTAGGTGCTCTCTGATGTGGAGCAGGATTGCGTCGAGCATCACATGGCACAAACTTCTTGCACCACTCACGAATATCTCGAGACATGAATGGCCAGTAGCACAGGACCTGAGTACGCTGCAGAAGCTTCTCTGCTGACAAATGGCCTGCCACAGGATTACCATGGAGCAGCTTGAAGACATCCTCCTGTAACTCTTGGGGTACGATAACCTGGTAGACTACTGACTTGGATTTCGGGTCATGGATTTTCCGACAGAGTAGCTCTTGGTGAAAGGTGAGCCTTCTGTATTCGTGCCAAAGTGACTTCTCTGCAGCGGGTCTGTTCTTCATCCTCCAGTGAGAGGGTTTGTAGCCTTTGATTTTCCAACTCATGACCTCTGCCAGATTGGGTCATGCTCCTGTTTCTCCTGCAGTTCTAATGCACTAGTGGAAAGCTGGAAAGCAGGCGAGGAGGATCCTTTGGACTGTTTTGGAACCGGCTGATGGGGTTCTGGTTTGGGATGATAATCAGTGGTACACACATAGTTGGGTATGCTGTGGTTCTCATTAATGGGCCTCGTAACGACATGAGAAGGCAGCCTGACGTCAGGAGGGCTGTCAGTGGTGTCAGATGGACTTGGCACTTCTGAACGCCTTGGCAATGAGTCTGCATTCTGACATTGATGTTCTTCTCTGTGGATTACAACAGTCCAGTCGAATGGATCCTGTGATGTATTATCAGCAGCATGATGGTGTCTTGTATCCTCCTGAGAGTTCCCGCTGCATCTACTTGGGGAATGGCGGTGGTGGCGGTCATCATCAGAGATCCAATCACGTCTGCTCTGTTGGACCTCAGGTGAGTCTGGATGGTGCCCGCGATGGAACTCTGGAGTATGACCGTAGCGTCTGTCAGGTGAGTAGTAGACTCTGGTTTGGCATTCATCACGATGGTCGGATGGAAAATGGTGACTGGCCCAGTGGTCAAAGCGCTGGCTGAGGTAGGTGTTCTCCTCCTGTAGCTGGCGGACGTCACTCTGTAGGTTATTCATTTTAAGTGTCAGTTGTTCGATGGCTTTTAGAAGTTTATCAGAAGCAGCATCAGGACACGTCATTGACACCTGGTCCTTAGTCTGCATAGGTGGGTATGAAGCCTGAAGGTTCAGTGCTGCACGTGCTCTTTCACAGCGTCCAGCAACAACGAGGGCTTCAGCAAGGTCTGTCGCGCCCATCTCGTGGATCTTTACTTGCAGGGCAGGGTCCAACCCAGCCACGAAGCGACGGAACTGCTCTCCTTCCTGCGCTACACAGCCGTAGTCAGGGAAGGCTTCCATAACGAGGCGCGTGATGTCAGCACTGTACACCTCAAGGCTCTCATCGGGCTTGCGGGGACGAGCATTGACATGGGTTTGGAAAAATGTCAGGGAGTGGTCAAGACCAAAAACATCCTGGAGCCTCTTCTTGACAGCCCCGTAGTCCTCCTTGACTGTGGGGGAAAGGCTATCCCAGTACAGAAATGCAGCCTCAGCTAACCTTGTTGGTAAAACTGAAGCCAGCACAGATGACAGGTCAGCGGATGGTTGGTTGTACATGGCTTGCATAGACACCTCAAAACGTCGAGACCAGCTGGTAAAGGACACAGTCCCATCACCTTCAAAAAACGGTGGTAAATCAATGTTGAGGCGTCCTGGTGGAGTAACATTCACAGCAGCCATATCAGTGGCAGTAGAACGAACCATTGCAGTGGGTCGACTCATGGACGTCTCAGTATCGGGCATGGTGAGCTCAAAAAGGTTGAATAACGATGGTAAAAATGTCCAAAAAGAAGGTAGGTTGGAAAAAAATTAATACAACTGCAGGAAACCTCAAAATCTCATCCAAAATGCTGACTAGCAGCAGCCATTCAGTAGAGCGCAAAAATCCACGTGGCTAGCAAGATGACAATTAGCAAGAAAAAAATCGTTGCATAAAAAGAGTCAAAAAGCCACACAAAACATACCACCACCGTTGCCACCAATGTAAGTTGAGAGGTTCGTAGTTTTTCAGTGGATAGCTCTACTTTAAAAATGGGCAAAAGGAGAGATGGAATCCTTTGAAGGCAGTTTTTATTTTCCCAACGTCTGCACCTCCGAACGAACGAACAAGAACACACCTCCTTCCCGGAAAAAACACCAAACACTTCCTGGTTTCCTTAACCAATCAGATAATATCAATATAAAATTGTTTCAGCAATTATTAAACAGAATATAACCTAGGTAACTGTAACACAAAAGAACATAATGCTCAAATATAAAATGAAAATAATTAATAATTTAACATAAACTTACACTTGCTTCATGAGTTGCCCCTGTACTCAGTAACATAGCCTACTGCCGGGTTGTCAAGTTTGCTGCACTATAAATCACTTTACTTTCAAAAACAAAATGAGTGAAGTCATGAAATTCAAATAAGAAAACCAAGTCAAAGTCAAGTCGGGGTTTTATACAAGCAAATCCCAAGTCCTAAAGCTATTATATTCTGTCATGTGACTTGTATTCTCCACCTCTGCCTTTCACTGCTACCCAAGATTAAAGGTCTAATATTCACACAGCACACCAACCTACAATTCAAAGTGAGGAAAGCGGAACTACCGTCTAGCATGTGAAGAGCATCATTAATGTTTAACGTTACGCTGCTGTGCAAAGGTGTGGACAGTGACCGCTTGCAGTTTGTTTGAAGAGTGATCTTTCATGGCTGTCAGAGTGCAGGCCAAAGTGAGGCAAGGAGTGCACAGATGTGTTTGAGGTGAAGGAGACGAGGATGGAGGCTTGTCTTGTCTGTGAAATGTCTCACGACGGCTGATGGTACACGCAGGGGGCCATCAGTGATGGAAAGTAACAAAGTAGATATAAATTGCTTTACTTAGAGGGGAAGTCAACCTCAAAATATTCTTGACAATAATAAGTTCTTGGCAGCCCTACAAGTCTAGACACAGCAATCTGAATAATATTGTTCTGTGTGGAATAGGAGTTAAGCAGCAAAATCTGCCCGGTTTCAGCCATCTCAGCGGGCAGCCATTTTGCAGCCATTTGCCACTTTTTCTCAACTGAAACTGTCATCACAGTTTCTCAGGGCTCAGGTAACGACTGATCATTGCTCACTGGTTCTCTGAAGCTGAGCCATGATTGGTTGTTACCTGGGCCCTGAACAACTATGACGTAATTTTCAATTGACAGAAAGTGGCAAAATGGCCGCCCGCTGAGATGGCTAAAAATGGGTGGATTTTGCTCCACAAATGCAATAGAATTCAAAATGCCGTATTTAGACTAGCGGAGGTGCAGAGAACATATTACTATCAAGACGATTTGGGGGTCAACTTCCCCTTTAGGATTTTTTTTTTTTTTTAGGTATCTGTAATTTACATGAGTGTTTATTTTACTGATGACTGTTTTCTTTTACTACTGTACCCACATTTGAAAATAGATACTTTCTTCTCGACTATTTTGTGTGTAGAGATTTGATTTGATTTTACCGTTATCGAAAAAATCTATATTGTATGTGTGCAGTATATGTATATTTTTACCATTCTACTTCGATACATTTGATTGGGTGTACTTTTTTTGGAACTTTAGTAAAAAAGTTGTACTTCCGTACTTCTACTTTTGCTTGCCGTTTTGTTTTTACAGAAATATCTGTATTCCTCCTTGAGCGCAATGTGAGTACTTTTTCCACCTCTATTGTGCTGTTTTTCATAAAGAAAAAGTAGAAGATAATTATTTTTTATTTGTTTATCATCTCACATACAATATGTTCAATTTTAATTTAGGATTTAGCTCAAATCAAAAGCTTCACCACAAAACAAACACAGATTCTGCCCGTTGGCAGATGAGGTTTATCAAGCTGCTCGGATTCATTTCCTGTGTCTCCAATGATCAAGTCAAATCTGAGGATTAGGCCAGTTCCCGAAAATCCAGCCCTCTCCCCCACCCCAACCTTTGCTTGCCCCCCAAATCCTTGTGTGCTATATGCTCCAGGAGGTCAAGACTGGTCTCAAGATGGGGAGCACAAATCAGCGTTCTTCCTTCCCAGGGACTTGGGAGGAAGTTTGTGTTTGTTTAATCTTGTCGTCATGCACTTTCAAACGTGCTTTGGAGTTAATGAGGAGGTGATAAGCCATTATCAGAATCGGAAACAAACATGCGGCGGACGACTTTGCTCACAAATGTTCCAGAAAAAGTTTATTACTTTGCATTCGAGTATCATGTTTCTGTTTCTGTCATTTTTGCAGTAAATTTGGATGATATAGCGCTTGCTTTTCTGTTTTGCCGAAGAACCATGAAACATCAAAATATTTGCCAAACTATTTACTCTCCGTGGTCACTGTTCTTTATTAACACTGTTAACCGCAGCAGGATACTCAGTGCACGATATCCTAGCTGTCCCAAAAGAGGGTAAACATGCAAATGTGTCTTACGCTTTAAATCATCACTTCTCACACAGCCACAATTTTACAAATCATCAAAACAACTGCACAGTAGTTGTCTAAGCAGCTGGCAAGCTGAGTGGTGACGCCTGTAATCACCGTAAACAGTTGGTCTTTTTTTTTAAACCAAAATCTCTTTAGTAAAAGTACCCCAGGAATGTATCGCTGCCATAATGTGATCCATAATCCTTGAAAGTAAACTTGAGCAAGGCGAGCTGTCCTTTTCCTGTTAAGGGATCATCAATTGCCATCTTTCCTACCTCAGGGTTGTCAAAGTCATTTTTTTCGCGGGCCACATTGTATTTTTGAATTCTCTCAGCGGACAGTTATGACTGTGAAAATATTCTGTAGCTAGTTTTTAATTATGAGACGGCACAGTGATCGACTAGTTAGCATGTCTGCCTCACATTGCAGAGGTGCAGGTTTCGATTCTGGCTCCGGCCTTCCTGTGTCGAGTTTGTATGTTTACCCTGTGCCTGTGTGGGTTTTCTCTGGGTACTCCGGTTTCCTCACACATTCCAAAAAACATGCACAGCAGGTTAATGGAACACTCCAAATTCTCCCTGGGTGTGATTGTGAGCGCGGAAGGTTGTTTGCCTCTGTGTGCCCTGCGTTTGGTTGGCAACCAGTTCAGGGTGTACCTCACCTACTGCCCGATAACAGCTGACATAGACTCCCGCATGTCAGCGACCCTTTTGAGAATAAGCAAATTAGAAAATGGATAGATGGATGGATAGCATTGGATCATGTGATCAGTATTTGCTTGGAAGTTTAGATCTGAAGATAAGTTGGGCCTGAAACCAAAAGACTAGGTGACTGACTCACATTGGTTTCTCTGTATAGTCGTAATCAGTTAATATTAGCCACTTCATACATTTTTGCTCTCCAGTTACAAGAGTTCTAAAAAAGTTGCCAGACAATAGACAAACTTTCATGGAAGTGCCACAGATGCCAATTTGCTGTCATAAAAAACAACGATCGCTACACAGTTCAATAGTTGATCCACCGACATTGAGAAATGGGCAAGTGAGAATGAAGCTCAACCTTCGATATAAATAATGTCTAGAATGTGCTAATTGTTTAAACAGTCTAAATTAGTTTTGTGGATGCTGGTACATTTAGCATGAATCAGTACATAACATGGTCTACTTGGCAACACTTGAATATTTTTTAATTGGAAAATTTTTTGTATGTTAGTGAAGTCAGAGTACTGAATCAACCACCAAATGTACGTGTTGTGCTGCTGATGAGATTTTGTGGCGATTTCTGCAGTTTCCCTAACATGCATTTCATGTGTTTCCTGTCCTCCTCTTAGAGCACATCCAAGCAGACGCTTCAGCAACGTCAGTGTCGGCAGCTCTTTGAGTCTGGTAAGCTCACATGTCACTTCAACAGCTTTTCATAAAATGTGGCTACTTGTGTATCTCATTGTAATTGCAAGTTGAGCTGGTGGATTTCTTTTCTTTTTTGGGGGGGGGGGAGCTTGCTTTTGAGACATGTGGTATTATCTTGGTGCCTAGCAACTGCGAGGTGAGGTGATTTAGACAAAAGTAGACCTTTGATGCCTTCTTGTTGCATCTATAAGCATTTACAATTAAGTGTAAAGCTTTGTGAGGGTCTGTCACTGACTTGCCGCTTTTCGCTTGTTCCCAATCCTCCACAAATAGCAGACAATAGTATAGGTTTTTTTTTTTTTTTTTTTTTTACATGTCACGAAGGGATTCCCTCCTTCTTGTATTCGTCACATGTGTTGTCAAGGAAATGCATCTGTTAGTCATTAGGATGGCAACCTCCTATTAGTACCCACAGGAGTCTGCAAGTCTCACACAAGCTCTCCTGGCACTTTGTCCTGTAGTTGAAGTTATTTTGGTCAGGACTATAGTCTGTATGGGCCGGGGGGGAAAAAAAATCTGGCCTGCTGCCAGATGGTATATATTGCACTACATGACATTTCTCACTCGCTTTTCCCATGACTCATTTAAGTGGCTGCCAGATTAGTCCTGCCATTCATGGAGACGGGAAGCTGGGGGCTCATGCTTGCAGAACAAGAAGATATTTATGACTAGCAGAAAGTGGTTCTTTCCTGTAGTCTAATAACTTTAGGCCTTTGTTTAAGGTGCACAGCAGGAAATTACGTGCACGTGCGAGTGTCTAAGGAGCACAGACATGCCTCTGAAAGTTCTTCTCTTTTTATCTATAGTTAAGAAACAACCAGTGTGTTTGCTCCCAGCCTGACAGTCCCTGTGGGTTTGGCTTTGCACATGCATTTTGGGGCCATCAATTAAAGGCCTGCAGACATATAGGGCTGCAGTATGCATTGCAAACACTCGGTCCCAAAGATCTTGACGGCTGGAGATACTTTTTGTTAGGAGACATCAGATGATGATTCAGAGTTTTAAAACAAACAATGCAGCAAGAGCTGGTCAAAATGGAATGGAAGAATAATGACAGTATTGCCTTAGCACACCACCACACGAGAATTAAAACATAAACAATGATACATGTGACAACCATAAATAAATGCATCACCACCAACATGAAGATCCAACCAGCAATCAGTGTTTTTATTGATGGATTTAAATAGATTGTCTCCCATTTGTCAGCAAAGAGGCCTGGTGCATCCAGTGACCTATTTCAGGATCCATAATATGGCGAAAGATCACTGTGGCTTGCCAGCATCAACCCCCCTTGCTGACCACAACAGCCTCTCCCTCCCTTTTAGCCTCCATTACCATGGGAACACTGACATCATTGTGGGTGGAGCTAAGTGGCCAGAAGGAGCAGGCAGGCAGAATCCACCAGCCACCACACAAATCCAATTCATCTCTAATTTGCCTGTTTGGATAAAGCTTTCTAAACAAGAATGGCGTATAAATTCAAAAGCGATCACAACATCAATCTTCCAAAATATATGTCAAATAACTTACCTGATTTGAACAAAGAATCAATCAAATTGTGTAAGTGGCGATGGTTGTGTGTGGTTCATAATGATAATGCAGAACTGCAAATAAGACATCAATGGTCCAATGAAGCTGCAGCAAAGCACTGCTATAAGTTGGCCTGACAGATCTAAAGTCGATCTACAATCGAGGTTACTCAAAAGCTGCACAAATAACTTTTAAAATGATCAGCAAATGTCTAACAAAATAAGTGAAGGATACTCTCCAGAAATTCCAGAGCAAGCTGCTTCTCACACACACACACACACACACACACGCACACGCACACGCACACACACACACACACACACACACACACACACACACACACACAATAATGCAGAACTGCAAATAAGACATCAATGGTCCAATGAAGCTGCAGCAAAGCACTGCTATAAGTTGGCCTGACAGATCTAAAGTCGATCTACAATCGAGGTTACTCAAAAGCTGCACAAATAACTTTTAAAATGATCAGCAAATGTCTAACAAAATAAGTGAAGGATACTCTCCAGAAATTCCAGAGCAAGCTGCTTCTCACACACACACACACACACGCACACGCACACACACACACACACACACACACACACACACACACACACAGGATTAAAGCAAGGTTGGCCTACTGAGATATACTGCCAGAGATTCCCCGCTAAATAGATGGTGACATTCCAATGTCGGCAGCACTTTGTGGAGACATAACAAGTGACCCAGATCAGGGCGGAGCTGAGGGGGAGGGAGGTGAGGTTGGATTAAGGACATGGCGGGGCAGGAAGGTAAGGGCGAGCACAGCAATAGGGGAGGGTTGGGTGAGGGGCATGCGTGTGCAGAAACCAAAGGAGGACACCTACCTGTCTGCCTGTCTGTCTGCTGAATCATGCGTAAAGCTTCGTTGAGCGTGAGATCAGGTCATATTAGCGATATGATGGTGGAACCCATTTCTTCCATGGCAACAGTTGGAATGTCTTATCATATACTATATAACGCTCTTGCCGAATTTAGTCTTGTTCATCTATTCTGCACAATTATTTGAGGTGAACTCATTCTTACAAGCCTCAATCGGTCTGTTTCCCCCTTTGCAGGTGAACCATTCCCTCCCCGGTGACCCAGCAGGCAGGCAGGCATGGCAGACAGTCGGCAGCCAGAGGAGCGCTGGGCCTCCAACGGCCAAGAAAACGGCGAGAATGGCTACTCAGCCTACAGCTACGAGGAGAACGGATTCCACGGTGGGGCAGCTGCGCAACCCAATACAGCAGGTATGAAGGTGGTGTGTTTGCAACCTTGCGTTGGAGCTGTGTCTGTGGCTATATGTGCTTGGTTGTGTCGCGCAATCACTGATGTTAAGTGTCTCATGTCACCCGCTCGTGGAAACCGAGAGAATGTTAGGATGCGCATCTCCACACAGCCTTATCAATGACTTCCTCCCGCCCATGTCTTGTCAGTGTGTGTGTCTCTCTCTCCCTCCACAGTGGATGACTCAGCCAATTTGCCTCCCTCCCCTCCTCCCTCTCCATCCGCTGAGCAGATGGGGCCAGCGGCGCAAGGTACACCCAGTGCACACTTGTAGGCTACTCTGACCATCCGCATGGTTGCGCGAATGGTGGTGAGGGTAAACGGAAGCATAAGAACACAGATCATGTCAGCCACTACCCCTCTTCCCCTCTTATCTTTGACCGACGTGCTTTGTCGTCTGCTCCATGTCAAACCCGAGATGTTTACACGTTGGTCCATTAGTACACAGCTTTCCTTCTGTAATACCTTCACGGTGTCTCCAGGAGCAAGTAATACACTTTCCCAACCATTTCCATGTTCCATGATGTCATGCAATCAGCAAAATCTGCGATCCTGAGAGTTTGTGCTTGTAAACTCAACTCTGACACACAACACATTGGAATCGAATATCTCAATGCATCATATAAAACTGCAGACGAAGATGTAAATCCAAATGCTCAGAAATTCATGGGCACAGGAATTTATACACATTTTGTAGGAACAACACAATCCACCTTACTACATCAGCATCACAACTTTTTTTTATCATATTTTGTATTGTGATAAAAATAAGGAATTATAATAATAATTAATAGTCAGACAAATTGTGATTTGAGCTGACTTTGGACGAGAGGCCTTAATTGTTCACGAGTCAACCGCAGGTCACATACAGTATAAACAAAGAACCATTTACACTCACACTGAAGTCTATTGAAATTAACATAATTTTTTTAATGTAGGAGAAAGTCGAAGTACGCAGGCAAGCACGGGTATAATATGCAAACCCTACAGAGTAGACGGTCAGAGAATAGATTCAAGCCCTGAACCTTCAAACTGCGAGGCAAACATATGAGCCGTTCGCAAACCGTGCTGCAAAACTGCCTACGTCTCCTTTAATTCTGGTTTCTACATACAATAAAAATAGATTTTATTTTTTTAAACACATTCAACACACGTCATTTTCAGTATCGACTGATTGCATCACATCATAGTCTTGTTAACTCATGTAACCCCAGTTCCCTCCATGTCTCACCCACCTGCCCCAAACCCCTTGTTTGAGAAGATAAAGTAGAACCCGCCAGTGTCCTGCAACAGCAGGATGAGGATGAGGAGGAGGAAGTTGCCGTTTGCCAGGAGGAAGTGACATGTGAGCAAGCGGGCATCCTACTCTTAGAGCAGAAAGATTTGGTAGCAGAAGCACAGGTTTTGGGCCACGAGCAAGCTCAAACATCTGAGGCGCTCAATGGAGGAAGTCATCACAGGGATCATAGCCCTTCAAAAGGTTTGTCAGGGTGCAAAAGTGCAAAGGACTCCTTCTATACGAGTGTGTGAGTGCGATTGCATGTGCGTGATTAAGAAAGCACATTCAGAATATTTTCTTGCGCATAATTTCTTGCTTCCTGCAGCTTTGTTGCGCTTCAATCCAAAAGCTTGTCCATCTTCATTGTTTTGTGCTTTTCAGCAGTTTCCTTTGTTTTTACATAGACTGTTGTTGGACTTTAGTACCAACCATCTGTTGGTTGACAATGGCTGTACTTTATGTGTTGCCAGCTACATTGCAAATGCAATTAGCATTTGCCACACTGTACACGTGCGTTTGTGCGGAATATTGTTGTGCAGTCCAAGGAACTCTGACTTGTGTGGTTGAAATGTATCATTGTCTACGATACAGTCTAATAACTGCATCTACTAGGGGTCGAATGACTTTAGATTTTTTTTTTCTTTGCAGTCACCACTTGGGGAATGATAGTCCAGCCAACTTTGACTAGTTGATGACGTCAGTGATATTTAATTTTAGTCATCAACTCTTCAAACACAATCACTCTCCCTGTCAACCTTGGTTGCACAGGCCCCACTCCCAAACTCATTTGTCCATTCACTTTCAGACACCCGCTGTTGCAATTACATTCAGATATCTTCATTGAAAATCTTCTCGAATGGCAGTTTATGGAACACTACTACAGGGTCGCTACTCGCTAAGCTACAGTATGTAAAGTATGTATTATCAATAAACGGGTCTGTTAAGAAAAAAAAAATCCTACATAAGATGCACCGGGTAAAAAGCGCATTCTGTTTGTGAACCGTTGTATGTTAATTATCCATCGGTTATCCAAGGCACTTACTCTCACGAGTGTCTACGGGCAGTTTATTGTAATTATACTTTATGTTTATTTAATAGATTTAGTACTATTATGCTTGGTTCAGACCAGTCGAAAACATCAAGTAACTTTTGTGTTGCTTGCTTTTGTTCACCGTGCAACTAAATGGGGGTTGGTTTGAGCAAAGGCAGGGATCCCCTGAGCGAAGGCATGGTTCCTCTGGCTAACGAAAAAAAAAGTCGTTACTCAATCTGGTAACCAGTGGTTTTGTTGTTACATTAGCTAATGCTAAATGTGATGTGATACATGTGATAAATGTTTGCTGCACAAACATGAACCTGAAAGAACCATCCATTTTCATTTATTTTTTATTTTTATTGTTTATTCGAAAGGGACAATGCACATTAATGAACACTGGTACAATACCTGCGTAAATATGCTGAGGTTAGCATACAGCTAATCCAGAGCACAAAAACAAGCAATTGGCCTCTGTCAAAACACATATTATGAATAATAAGAAAAATAAAGAACAATAATTTTATTATAGCCAGGGAAACATTAATATCAAGTTACAACGTTTGGTCAACAATGTTCAACGTTTTGGTCATCCCGCATGTATTACAACAGGAATTCAATCATAACCGTGCTCCCTTACTTTTTGTCATCTAACATCATGCACCTCACGCCTTCATTTCAGTTGTGCACAAAAGCGTAGCTGCTGTGGCCTTCCCGTTGCAATGCAGCTTGTGTTTGGAGAGCTACTGCTTCTGTGTGCACAAGGCCTTGGCTTGGCTGCGGTGATCCAGCTTTTGTAGATGCTGCTTTTAGTTAACATGACTACACAAAGATGCACAGTGTCCTCCAAACTTGCAGCCCAACTCGAAGAAAAGAGCAGAATGGAGTCCTGCGGGCATGCAGAAAAGGCGGCAGCAAAGGAAAACAAAGAGAAAACTGTCTTAGTGATCAAGTCAATTCCAGAATATGGTGCCGAGGCAACGACTGATACGTTTGTAGGCTTGGCCTCGAAAAGCTACTTTGAATTTCTCACATCAGAAACGGAACAAAGTGAAGATGAAGTGAAGGGACAGAAGTGTTCAGTCACAGGAAGCTTTGACAAATATGTGGAGAGAAGCTCCTTTGTGATGCCTTCATCTGACGTCATCACAACATTACCTGATGAGCAACCAAGAACCGACTGTGAAACGTTGAACCTGGCAAGCACCTTTCCTTATCCCACCCTGCAGAAGACTGAGACTGTTGACACTAGACCAAAGTCCACACCCCAAAATGTGGCTTCTCTGGTGGGGAAATCTTTAGCCAAGCTCACCCTTGGGGAGCAGACTTTAATACTGGTGAGTGAAGAAAAACACATGGAGGACCTGGGCAGCTGTGTCTTTAAAGAATACTCTGGACCAATGCCTTCTCCGGCTGACAAGCCAAGTCCTGAGGACATTTCTTACCATTGTCTCCCTATGATGGATTTTCAAGTAGACAACCTTGGAGCTGCCGAAGTTGAAGATGATCAAAAATTACAAGATAATAACGTGTCTAATCTTGGTATATCACAAAAATCACCTTTACGGTCAAAGATACTGGAAAAGGCTGTGACGAGCACAACAAAACCGGATCGCCTCAGAATCCCTATGACGAGTCCAAAAGACAGACCAACTGAATTTCGTTTGGGGAGCAGTCTACCTGGTGACATAAAAATACACACAATTCCTGAAGTAGACATTGAAAAAGACCCTTCAAGAGAAGCTTCTCCTGTCCCACCAGGCAGTTCCTTCACATTTACATCGACAGAAGCTGAAAGTGAGGTCCCCCTGACTCTCACCTCACCCAAAAGCCTCGACGATGCATCCCAAGAAGCACAGCTTTCTGAAGAGAAGGCAAGGGATATCTCAGCTGAGACTGTTGCAAAAAGCAAGCGTGGTGGGATGAACAGGGGGCAGATAGAGAAACCTGAACATGAAAAAGACTGCAAGAAGTTGCTCAGTGATCCCAAGACACCTGCAAGGTCAGAAACAAGAGAAAAGGAAGATATCCCCAAGGCCCTAAAGCCCTCTAATGGAATAAGTACACTCTACTTACAGAAAGTCTCACCAAAGCCACAATTTCCCTCTCCAGTCATAATTATACCTCAGGCACAAGTGCAAGAAGAGGATGACGTAGAGGTTGTAGAAGAGATCATATATGATGCTGATGGGCCTGTGCTCCCCAAAGTGGATCAGGATGAGCCAGAACTGCTGAAAGTGGGTCAGGTGGTCCAGGGAAACAGCAGTGTTGGGCAACTAAAGAGAGATTTTCACAGTCCCTTTGCATTCTCTGACAATGACCAACTGCCGCAGCAGCAGTTGGGTAATGAAGAAAAGATGGTTAGTTCAGATGATCTAACTGAAATCAAAAAGGAGAAGGGAACTGGTGTGCAGGATGACAAGTCCTCTATGGAGATAGGTCAGAAGGTCGAAGACACCACTCAAGCTCTTAATGATGGAGCTCCAGTGGACATCTCCATCTGTGACACAGACAGTAGCTGGATTGATTCAAAAGGTACCCAGAATTCATATTTTATGGTGTACAGTGGAACCTCTAAGGTCAAAACACCCACTGGACGACCCCCCTTGCACACTTACTAAACTACTACTGTAAACTACAGAAAATGTTGGAGTTACAGAGTCAAACTGTTGCCATCATACTGTACTCGTCACCCTATACAGGCCTTTGTAGATTGCAGTTATACAATATGAGCTTACAATTGTAAAAACAACCATTTTTGATAGTACAACATGAAGTTTTTGTCAACATGAAGCACTTAAAATAACGAATACATTTGAATACATTTGAAGATGTAATGCCATTTGCGTTTCAATAGGAGAATCTGTATTTTCGGTTCACATTCCAATTCAATCCTACAGACAATAAGGGTCGTCAACTCGATCTAAGAAGCATGTTTTGCAATGTGGCAATGTAAGCACAGGGAGAATGTGCAAAATCCACAAGGGAAAATTGGAGCCCGGATTCGAACCCCCAACTTCAGAAGCAGATATGGTAATAACCTGCCACGCCCCACCATAAATGAAGCATTGAAATACCCTAACCATGAAAGTGTGAATGCAAATATGCTGAAGTCATGCTTGACGTCAGTTCAAACTATCAAGTGTTGTGCGACTTTTGGTTAAAAAGCCCCCAAGATGTTGGTTGAATTCTGAAGTTGGCTTGAGAGGTTCCGCTGTATTTGTTTGCATATTGTCTGCAAAGCTAGCAAAATGGAGAATTGGATTCCTCTTTTGATGCCTCTCCACTGCAGATGATGACAAAACTATCATGACAAAGCAAATCAGAGCCACCCTCACCATACTCGGGGTGGACACAACCTCAAAACAGGTCCCTGGCAGAGGAAGTAAAGTGTCACGCAAAGGTCCCAGCTTTCGTCTAAAAGAGGAGATGAAGAAGAAAAAAGGTTACCCCCCCCACATTTGTGTGAATGCCCTGTATCTGTATCCATGACACAGCGGCAACCACATTCTAATCTGAGTTTGACCATGTGGTTAATCTTGTCTCTCCTCTTCTGCTAGTAGGCGTCGTGCGGAGGGCGGACCAGAATAAGGTCTCAGCCTTCCAGAGTCGAAAAAGTGTAGCCAAAGCTGTGGCCAGACATCCTCGGCCAATTCTGCTTCAGAGTTCCGCTAGACGCAAAGCCGCAGGTGAACACTTGTCGCCAGGATTTCGCACCATGGATAGAGAGAGTGCAACAACTGTAAATGGCAGTGGATTTGTTTTAAATGGGCTTCGGTGATGACATGGTGCTACGACCATGAAGCCTAAACAATGTGTGCTAACACAATTTAGCTCATGGGGATATTGACGACTGCTCTCTCTCTATTGGTGGCTTACATTTTTTTTTTAAGACTTGAAGCAGTTGCAGTGTGGCTGGCACACATCATGTGCTACTCATCTTCGTGACAGGCCTTTCGTCTTTTTTTTTTTTTTTTTTTTTTTTTTTTTTTTTTTTTTTAAAATTTTTCTTTTTTTTTTTTTTTTTTTTTTTTTTTTTGACTTCTAAAACTTCTCCTGTTCTGCTTCATATTTACGCTACTGTGTGTTGTCTTTGTGTATTGCAATGGTTTGTTTTGCTGGCACAAAGTACTGTTGTTTTTCGCTGGTTTGCTTGTTATGTTGTGAAAAGGGACTGACCTGGACGTTGACTGTGGATTCCTGCTGTTGCATCACGATGCATTTAGTCTTTCTTAAGTTGAAAAGGGGCAAGTCAATAAGATATTTGAAACCCTGCATTCCCAAGCGACTCCGTTTGCTGTTTGACATTGTTCATTAATGCATCACTTTTTTTTCTTCACAGGTGTAGAAAGCTGTCAGCCTTTAAGTGTCCACCAGTCCAGGGAGAGACCCACTGTAAGTAACCCACTGGCCTTTATGCTACAGTATATGTATTGCATGAAAACACCCTTTTTTTCTTTTTTACTTCTGCATGGGTGCATTTATGTCTCTCGTTGTGTCTTGCATGCCAGCCTTTGTCCTTAGATTTGTCTCGACAGCGAAAATGTGTAAGTATAGTAATCAAACTCAGACCTACGTGTGCAGCACATACATTTTAATACCGAGCGTCTTTATACTGTGTTTGTCTTGTCTTGTACACATTCAGGAAAATAAAAATGATCATAATTCTTAGGGCCCATGTCTGGGACTTGGGAAATTGTATGGCCAGACGATGAAATTGTCTGGCTCTTCAAACATCAGCCATGATAATCAGCCAAACGGCCAATTTGTTTGCCAATTGTTTTTACCTTTATGTACTCTGACCTTTTACATCAGTTTACACAAATAGCACTGGTCTCATTATTTATTTCATATAAATGTATACTATAACCTTGTATCCTTAAATATCTAGATAATGACATTTGTTGATAAGGTCTATCAACCTGTCAAAATAAAGCAAATCCTATTGATTTATAGTTAGTTATTTTTACAAGCAATGCTTAGGTGAGCAATGCAGGTTGTGCAAAGAATTGACTTGGATGTCACCATTTCACACATGACCTAAAGTCACAATTTGGTTCAAATAAATAAATAGTGCAACATTAATTCAACATAAATGTGTTAAATATGACACATATTCAAATGGTAACACAGACACACATCTGAGAAACATTAATGTCTTGATAACATCATTAATTAAATGCTTTGTGGCACACAATTTATTCTAGGAACCCAAAAGCACAGCTTTTTTTTTAAACAATATATTTACAGCTGACCGTCACTGTTTGTGAGGAATAGGGACCAGAACGGCCCACGAATAGTGAAAATCCTCATACAAGTGATGCACATTGAAATACATTGGGGGGAATTTTTTTTTTTTAGGCATTATGAATGTTAAAATTCATCGGTTGATTCATCAGTGATCAATATTTTTTTTTCTTCCAAAAATCGGCCTAAAAAATCCATATCGTCGAGCCCTAGAAGTAGGATTTTAGATTTGCTACATTGAAGTGGTGGGACCCAAAGTACTTTTTTTAATCACTGGGACATAGACGGACAGACAGACAGATAGATAGATAGATAGATAGATAGATAGATAGATAGATAGATAGATAGATAGATAGATAGATAGATAGATAGATAGATAGATAGATAGATAGATAGATAGATAGATAGATAGATAGATAGATAGATAGATAGATAGATAGATAGATAGATACCTTATTAATCCACAAGAAAAATATACTGTTCTCGTAGTCTCGAATAAAACAAAAAAGGTCAAGCACACAGAAGTACAAATAATCTAAAAAAAGAAAATCTCCAATGTAGTAATGAAATAAAATAAGAGGTCGTATTCACATTGTGGTCTCAAAGATCGATGTGCAAAATGTTTACAGTAAAGAGTTAGGAGTTGTATATACTTGCAGTTAAAAAAAAAATGCCTATAATTCATGATGTAAAAAGTATAAATAGACACATTTCATGTCATCTGCATCTAATGTCATGTCATAATTTCTCCATCTGTCCGTCTGCCACATCACCATCTGTCCGGCATGCTTTGCTCCATCTTGTGGTGGCCACCACCCTGCCACCCAGAGCCCCACACGGCCTGTTCTGTCAAAAATGGCAGTGCAGAGCCAGGGTTCTGATGAGAAACCCCCACGCCCTGGCTCTGCATGTAGCCTGAAACGGAGCCCCCAGGTGGAGGCGGTGCTCAGTGAGGCTCGGCCAGCCTCAGCATGCTCCCGCTCTCCCCCTCAGAAAAACACACAGGTAGAGAAGGTGAAAAAAATGTGTATGACCCGACAAATATGCAGAGTACGAAATACTCTTTGTGGGCTTTTTCCATTCAGGAGAGAGCATACCGCAGTCCAGAGAAGAGGTCATCTCTCCCCAGGCCGTCCAAGTCACTGACCCGCCACCTTCCTGCAGCTGAACAAGAGGACAACAGCACCCCCAGCAGGCCAACTTGTAAGCTACGCCAGTAGCTACCTTTATATTGAGCCAAGGCGCATCATGAGAAAAATCTTATGGCACACGACAAAAAAGTATATATCCTGAAATGATTTTGATTTTGTCTCAATTCACTCAAAATTTGTGAGCCTTTTTATTTTAACACAAAGCTGATGTACTCAATGGAATTAAGGGAAGACGCACAGTTGTCTTAAGTTACCGGTATTTACTTTCAGGCCAATTTTGATCATTTTCCCCACATCAGACTTGCTCATTTCTCAATGCAAAGTGGTTGGGAATCAGTGAAGTGCACACATTCATCCAATTTTACTTGGCATTTAATGTCTCCAAGCAGTCAGAGCAATTACATTATTGTGTTGTGAGACTTCATAAAGTGCTCTGCAGAACATTATCCAATTTTATTCATTCCATAAATAATCCATCCATCGATCCATCCATCCATTTTCAAATCTGCTTATCCTCATGAGGGTCAGGGGCATGCTGGAGCCTATCAACACTGTCTTCAGGCAGTCGGCGGGGTACACCCTCAACCGGTTGCCAGCCAGTCGCAGGGCACACATAGACGAACAACCATTCGTGCCCACATTCGCACAGAGGGACAATTTGGAGTGCCTAATCAACCTGCAATGCATGTTTTTGAAATGTGGGAGGAAACCGGCATACACGGAGAAAACCCACGCAGGCAGAGAACATGCAAACTCCACACAGGAAGGCCGGAACTGGAATCGAACCCCACACCTGTGCACTGTGAGGCGGACTTCCTAACCAGTCTACACCGTGCCGCACCCATGCATAATCATTGATTTTAATACAAATAATATATTCATCTGTCCATACCAGCAGTGTATGTGCTCTTCCACAAGATGGCGTAAATTACAATTAACCCGCATATGCATGTGTTGCCATTCATTCAACAGAATAATAGCTCTGTGTTTGTATTTCACCTAATCAGACCCAGATTTCCCCAGGTAAGTCAGTTTGTGAGTTTACTTGAGACGAGATCCTTAGTATTTCTTTACAAAAACAGAACTGTCCGTGACATTTTTTGTCAGGCTGAGCTGTTTCTAATGTAACATGATGTGCCTTGCTTCAATATAGGTTGGGAAACACTCCTCTTAAGTGATCACTCACCAGGTTTACCCATCACATCGTATACACACCTCCATCTTTTCCTTTAGCCATCAACACCGATGCCAAGGCTGACTGCAGGTCTGGGAGGGGCCCTAGTATGGCAGGTAGTGCTCCTTTCAGCATCATCACAACCTGCTCTGCAACATCCATTGTCACACGCAATGCTTTTATGTTGACTGTTACATTGTCAGGTCTATCATAACTTCAATGTATTTATGATTGTGTTTTCTATAAGATATGATCTATTTAGAGACTTCTATGATGTCAGTAATCCGCGTGTTCAGAATCACATTTTCAATCCAATCCCTGTGTTCGGACAATCACCATCCTCACACACATTCACTATCTTTTGCCTTCTGCTCTCTAAGGGCAATCCTCATTTCTTCCGTTACAGGCACAGATTCTGCACGTTCCTGGTCAGCCCGCAGCGGCACATCTACCCCTGGATCCTCTGCGGTTACGCCCGGCACGCCGCCCAGTTACTCCCGCACGCCTGGCTCGCGCACACCCGGCAGCCACACGCCCAAGTCCTTCAGCGTTCTCCAAGAGAAGAAGGTTGCGATAATCCGCACCCCGCCCAAGTCGCCATCTTCAGCCCAGCGGCAGTTGAAGGTTCTCAACCAACCGCTTCCTGACCTCAAGAATGTCAAGTCCAAGATTGGATCCACCACCAATCTTAAACACCAACCCAAAGGTGGACAGGTAATGGTGCTGTTATCATATTTATAGTACATTCATGAGGTTTCTTCTTCTATTCTGGTTGATCCTTGGCAAATTTATTTAAATCAAATGTCTGTAGTGGAGGTCAACTCCAACATTTTCTTTCATAATACGTTGTAAGTGCTGAGACGAGTCTAAACACAGCATTCTGATTAATATTGTGTTTGTGGAATATGAGTTAAGCAGTATAATCCACCTGCTTTTATCCATCTCAGGGGGCGGCCATTTTGACACTTTCTGTCAACTGAAAATGACATCATAGTTGTTCAGGCCTTAGGTAATGACCAATCACGGCTCACCTGTTTTCTGAACCCAAGTCATGATTGGTCGTTACCTGAGCCATGAGCAACTATTAAGCCATTTTCAGTCGACACCAAGTGGCAAAATGGCCACCAACTGAGGTGGCCATAAACGGGTGGTTTTGCTGCCAAACTCATATTCCACAAATGCCATATTAATCGGAATGCCGTGTTTAGACTACTCACGCTGCATAGAATTGAATATTGTACAGACAATTTTTGGGTTGACTTCGACTTCCTCTTTAGGACTCTTTGTGAATCTTCTGCAGTCGCCTTGACTGCTCTTGTCCTTCCTCTGAGCCTCCTTCTAACTTTCACTTCTTCTTGTCTCCACATTCTTGAATTGAATGAAAGTAATCAAAGGGAATCGCTGCATGACTGAGACAGTTTTAAAACGAGTTCACAGAATAGTCCAAAAAAATGGCCATTCTGAGTGGCACAGGTGTCAAACTCAAGGCACGGGGGTCAGATTTGGCCTGCACTTGTCTCTCAAATTATCTTTTCCCATTAAAATGAATGGAAATGCCGTTAACCTGTTGCAGCTGCCCCAAAAAGCAAACATGTATAAATGTTTGTTCTACCAGGTAAAATAGCACTTTATAATATTATATTTTGAATAAGTATATATTACATTTATTAATAACATATATACAATTTAGATACGAGTTTGCGTATCATGATTAATTCATTGTAATTGTGTTACTTAAAATGGGTTGCACATTGCCACCTGGGCACACTATAATACAGACATACAGATGTCAATAGAGACAGTCACTACCTCTCAGTCAGGTGCAGTGCTACGAGACATTTTTTGGAGAAGATATTGGATATATAACTTCCTTTGAGTATTGGTAGACCGTCTGTCTGGATGCGTTGCGCCACCGTTTGTGTTCCACTGGACGTTGTTTAAAGGATTGTAACACAAAGACACATTTCCCTGGATCAGTAAGGCAAAATCAACCATTCAAGTAGAAAAGAGATGTAATAGTAATAATAATACTAATAACAATAGTAACAATAATAATAATAATAATAATAATAATAATAATAATAATAATGTGGTCCGGTGGACCAGTGGTTAGCGCATCGACCTCACAGTGCAGAGGTACCGGGTTCAATTCCAGCTCTGGCCTCTCTGTGTGGAGTTTGCATGTTCTCCCCGGGCCTGCGTGGGTTTTCTCCGGGTACTCCGGTTTCCTCTTGCATTCCAAAAACATGCATGGCAGGCTGATTGAACACTCAAAATTGTCCCTAGGTGTGAGTGTGAGCGTGGGTGGTTGCTCGTCTGTGTGTGCCCACTTGAATCTGAATTTCTCCAAGTTATAAAGGAAGAAGACTCTTTTTCAAAGGAGGTCCAGTCGTCCCCCAACTCCCCCTCTCGATGGTTAAAATTAATGAGCATCAGTAATTACTTTTTTTTAAAGTGTTTTAGCTCTTTACAATAGTGTGTTTTCACTCACATCTATGTTGCGTTATATTTATTTGTAACCACAAACTGGTTAAAAAAAGGTGATGGTGGAACAAATTAACTGCATTTCTATTCATTTCAATGTGAAACATTACCTCAATTTAGGAATGCTTCGTGTTCCAAAAGGGGTCAACAAACAATTCACTTCGTAACTCGAGGTTCCACTGCACTTATATATTTGCATGCCACAATTTTCCAAGACTTCTGATTTCAAATAAAAATTGTTAAAAATACAGTACATCAATCAATCATGATAATAGTATGTAATAATAGGATGAGGTGACCGTATATTTTCTTTTTATGGTCATAAGCATCCTCTGAGGGAAACCTAAAATATGGCATGTGACAAAAATTTGTTTTGCATGCCTGCACGCTGTATATGGGATCGAATGCTTCTTTTTTCCATCTTCCTCTGACAATTAATAAATTTATCTCATATATGTTATTGATAAGGTCTGAAGAAAAAAAACGTAGTAACGCTAAATACATCCTAAAAATAAATGTCAAAACACATTAAGTCATTGCACATTTGACATTGAGGCACACAGTTTTTTTTTCTATTATTTCTTTGTGATCTAGGTGCAAATTTTAAACGAGAAGCTGGATTTCAGTCATGTTCAGTCAAAGTGCGGCTCCAAGGATAATCTGAAGCACACGCCCAAAGGAGGCAATGTATGTACGGCTCTCTCTCTTCCTGGTCTCTTCCTTCTCTCCTTTTATTTTGGGTCCCTCCTTTGCCCTGTTATCTCTCTGTGGGTTGCACGTGGGGCAGGTCGCATTTTTAAAATGTTTTATTGAAACAAGTGGCGTTTAAATAAGAAGCAAAGCTTAACACTGTGATGACAGAAATGGCGTTGAGGATTTAAAATTGGGATGTTTTGACTGAAATAATTTTTAGTGGAGGAGGGGCTTCTCTGGAAGCCCAAACCATAACACTTGGGTGGCCCTTCTCTCTGCCACTTGTCTGTATAAAAACAAAAAAAAGTACCTTGTCATTCCCAGGTCATGATTCCAAGTGTTAAACTGGACTATAGCCACGTCCAGGCTAAATGTGGCTCCCTGAACAAAATCCAGTATGCACCAGGCGGCGGAAACGTGAGTTGACTCAACAACAAAGTTAAAAGTTACAGTAAAAATAAATGTCAATGTCTACTTATGAAGTTGTTTTGAAATGGTAGGTGTTTAACATGCCGCTGATGGTGTAGTGGTACACCCGCCTGACTTGTGTACGGGCAACGTGGGTTCAGTTCCCACTCAGTGACAATGTGCATGTGGGTGTGAATGGATGTGCGTTTCTGTATGTGCCCTGCAAGTGACTGGCGACCAGTTCAGGGTGTAGTCGCTCAAAGTCAGCTGGGATAGGCTCCAGCACCTTCCTGCGACCTCTTTAGGATAAGCGGTGTCGAAAATGAATGGATGGATGGATGGTGTTTAACATTCTCGTTTCACGCAATTCATTTGTACCCAGATGTTGTCTTTTTTGCATTACCATTCAATCGGTTCCAATGTGGTCCCACCCAGTACGAAATGTACATATCCTATAATTTCATGAAGTTTAAACAAAGCTCCACCGCTTCCATGTTCTGCGTTCATTTTGATATTTGTGCTTTCATGTGCTGGCATCGCCACCTCTTTTTCTCAGTTGAGTAGAAATTAATCCGAATTTATCCGCCTTCATGTCGTGCCACCCCGTCCTTATTCAGAGATCATCCCAGTATCATACTGCAGCTCTTTCCCTCGCTGTAAACACAGAATGACACGGACATACCACTGTTTCCTACAGGTTCAAATCCAAACCAACAAAATCGACTTGAGCCACATCACTTCCAAATGTGGCTCCATGTCCAACATCCGCCACAGGCCAGGTAGGCACGTGATCAAAACAGACTATATTATAAGAATGACTTTGTAATTGCCCTCCTCACTCTGTCATTTCCCAGGCGGAGGCAATGTTCGGATTGAGAATGTGAAGCTGGACTTTAAAGACAAAGCTCAATCCAAGGTCGGCTCGCTGGGCAACGCCAGCCACATGCCAGGAGGAGGAAATGTGATGGTAAAATGTTGCTTTTAGTTGGACACCCATGTGCCTGTGTATGTAAAAATGACCCTTGCCACTTTTTTTTCTTTTTTCCTTTATATTTTAACTTGAAATGCCTGTCCAAGTATGCTCATCTGTCATGTTATTTTTACTCATTATTTACCCATTTAAAGTGTTAAAAACAGCTTGAGAACAAATCTGTGAACTCTCTTGGACATTTCATCTGTATGAGAAGTGTTGTATGACAAGTTAGGTTAGATACAGTTGAGGTGGCATATTTTGTCCAAAATCAATAGTGTAACATTTGGGTGCAGAAAGAAGTGGTCAGCCATGAAGGTACGTTTTTATGCAGATTATCTACCAATTATACTGCTTAGTCAACTCATTATTTTTATTTCATTTTTATTGCATCACTTATCATCATGGCTCTCAGACCTTTGAAAATGAGTTTGGGAAGATTACGCAACCACATTTGCTGGCTTTTGTTAAATATTGAAGCCTCGTTGTGTTGCTTGAGGGTCGCCTCAATTTATGGTCGAAAGTGATTTTTGGGTGGTGTTGATGGTGCCCAGCTGTATAGGATAGCAATTAAAGCTACTGTATAATACCAACTTGAGCAATGCTGTTTTGGTATCTCAAGCCAGACGGGGGTTTTTGACTTCCTGAAGTGATTTTGGAGAGACTAGGGTTCCGCCTGGCACAGATGTTATTTTCACTGACGGATACTTATTGGAAAATGCATTGAAACAGAACAAGGTTTGAGAGAGAACAGACAGAGAAAATAGAAACAAAAGACATAATATACCATCTATAGAACCATACTCCTTTGTCAATGTTAGTAATAATTAACCGTTCAATGCCGCTATTGTTCTCGGTCTTTGTGTGTGTGGGTCTTTGTGTGCATGTTTTTCTCTCAAATCTTGCAATCTCCTTGTCAGATCGAGAGCCACAAGCTGAGCTTCCGTGAGTCCGCCAAAGCTCGGGTGGACCACGGTGCAGAAATTGTTGTCACCCACTCCCCCGGGCTGGAGATGGGAGGCACCTCACCTCACTTGTCCTCGGCCGGCAGCATCAACCTCCTGGAGTCGCCACAGCTCTCCACACTGGCCCAAGATGTCACCGCAGCACTGGCCAAGCAGGGCTTATGAGCCGCTCGCTTTGGGTCACTCCTCCTCCCTAACAGTTTCATTCAGTCAAAAGCATCCAGTGTTTTCCCACGGCCCCCTCCAGACCCTCCACCTCGGCGGTTATACTTTCCAAAGCGATTTAAAAAGAGAATCCTCCAATTATTGTTCGCTTCACAAATTACTGTTTTCTTCTTTCATTGGACTTGTGTGTACTTGTGCGGAAGAGGGCGTGTGCTCTATGATTGTACAGTGATTTTTTTTTTAAAGCATTGCCGCATTGCTCTTGCATGGGGACAACTCTTAAAGTAAACTGAATTTGCAGTAACTTAGAAAACTGTTGAAACTGTGACAAAAGAACTACTAGCTTTGAATATGAGAATCGGTTGAGCATGTCTGTTAAAAGGAATGTGGCATTGAAAGAAAAAAAAAGATGGTTTGTGGTGATTTTATGGTACGTAATGACCTGTTGGAAAATGTGTGTTTATGTGTTTTTATATTTCACTGTAGTTTTGTATGGTGGCTACAGCTGCAGTTCTCAAATAGAGTTATTTTATTTCCTGCAATTGAATTATTATTTCTCTGCTTTTAAATGAGCATCGTTGTTGAGTATTCAAAAGGTCTTTTTAGAACAGTGATTTCAAAGGCCCCTTATCACTTGAGGGCCTTTATTCCGCTACAGAGACAAAGGGAAAATGAAAGCGTGCGCTTGTGTGTACAAACATTCCATTTGAGTGTGTATGTGATAGAACCAGTGCATTGTAGAGAAATGAAGAGTGCACGGAACGCTCAACGTGCAGCTGTAATAAGTTCCAAACTGTTTTAGTGTGTTCTTCACTCACTGTTGTGAATGTCCCACCCTGATGTTACCTCCCCTCCAGTGTTTATCTGCACCTGTGTAAGTGTATTTAAAATATCATGTTTTCAATGTTTTCATGGGTAAATGCTTCCATGGAAAACAGTGGCAAAGGAAATAAAGAAGACTGAAAGTAATTCAAGCTTACCTTATGTTTTAGCAGAAGTAGCTGCGATATTTGTTCGGGATGTGGTAATATGTACATATACACCCGATCAATATAATGATAGCCAATACGACAGTTACTACCATTGCCATTCGGCTCCAGCAACACTGAGAGGCGAATGAGAATACAGTAAAGCGGTATAGAAAATTCAGTCATGGACACATATATGTTATGCTATGACAGTGTAGTTTAACGCTATAATTATGATCTCTATTAATATTAATAGTATGTTGACATATAAATGTTGTTGGTTGTTTAGACTGGGTCATACTGAGAGCTGTATATCATTTTCGCTCACATGATTAAACTTAAATATCAGCCCATTGTGATGCAGTATTGTTAAAATGAGAAAAAAAAAAGCATTCATTTCGTTTTTTTGTGGTTCTAATGTTGTGGCTTGTTGGTGTATTTACATTGTTTTGTCCTGAATGTTATACGTCAGCATTTCTTTTGTATTCTCAGTTAAGGTTTGTATCACTTCACTTTTAAACTCAGGACTTATTGTGATGTTAAAGCCTTCATATGAAGCTCCCCTCAATTCTTGGATAAGTTCTGGAAGTCCAAATGTTGCCCAATCCTTCCCGTCACACCTGCAGCATGTTTGACACAATGCTTTTGTGGCCGTAGTAATGAGCCAAACACAAGGTCAACATGATGGAAAATACCTTTCTATCTGCCCAGTCTGGGTTTCGAGTTTAATTTGAAAGTATGATTTTCTAACTGTATTTTTTATAACTATCAAAAAGTTGCCTCTAAAAATTGTAAGTCTAAATTTAAATCCAAACTCAGGCATCGATACACCATAAGAGTTCAACATCCGGGTAACTAAAGAGAAGCGATTGAACTTTCGGAATTCATTCAACATCCAGCAGTCACAAAAAAAAAAAAATCATCTGTCCCTTGATCCACATCGAGATCGTGGTGAGCTGAAGCCCATCCTAGCTGATTTTGCTTGATAGGTGTTAAACATACACATGTTGAGGTGGTCGCTAGTCAATCGCAGGCCGCGCAAAGATGTCCATTTCAGACATTCACATTCAAACGCACAAATTTTAACGGACATGCAAATTCAGATTTTCAAATTCAAATTCCGAACCGCGTACAGCACCTATCAATATGCTGCCTTCCAGGGATATACGGACAGTACAATCGTGGTGTAAGTAGTAAATACCTGTTGTAAACCAGAGTATGTAGAAGTTTCTTACATGTTACAATTTAGGACCTTACCAACACTCTATGAAGATTGAGTAATCATTGTTGCCGAATTTTATTCTTGCTCAGTGTTCATGTTGTACGATAGGAATTACCTGACAGTTTCTTCCTACTTGGAAAGATTTCAGGTGGTCAGAGACAGCACCACTGTCATCTGTTTTGAATTGGACCGGAAGAAGCTTGCTGTATGTTCTGTGCGTGTGTTCGTATAAAAGCCAAGGTGCTACTGACAAGCTAACTAATTGGATGCCCATTACCAAAAAGTGATATGCTTCTCGTTCATAAATGTCGGAATGAAAATGCAATAAAATTTACAAAACGCTTACATTTATTATATTGCCTGGCCGGGAGCCAGAGATGTAGCAAGAAATGTAGAAATGTTCACACATATCAAAATATTCTCCTAGGTACGGGGTGGCCAGGGAGGTAGACACAGAGTGACAAGGGGTGGCCACCTCTGTGGCCACCCTGTAGCTCCGCCCCTGCGGGGAGCTTCACACCCCTAAATCTCTTGACACTTATCCGTATGATTGGCACCATTCAAACTTGGAAGTTCAAATACAAAGTCAGATGACATAGATGCACTGCACAGCATCTTCCCGAGCCGCACACGCACACACATACACGAAAGCACATAACCGAACGCACATACAAGGGTGCGCGGATGCACGCACGTATCGCCCTTCAGTGACCTTTTAGCTGCCGCCGTTGATGGGCGGTTCTGAAATCTCTTCGCCTCCTCCCCCCTCCTCACCTTCCTCCACAATCTCCCTCCCTTCATCCATCCACCTCCCTCCCTCCCTCCCTCTCTCTCTCCGCACGGTGACGGACACTTGCAGCCATTTTACGCAGCACGAATCCAATCATGTCATGAGAAAAGCTCGCCGCTCACCTGAGCCAGCAGCCGCCAACCGGTGGTCGCACGCAGGCGGGAGAACAGGCAAGACAGGCGGCGAAGACTGGCCAACATGGTGAAGAGGAAAAGCTTGGATGACAACGAGCCGGAGTGCGGCAAAGGAATCCCGTTCCCCATCCAGACCTTCCTGTGGCGGCAGACAAGGTTAGCCCCGACTCATAACAGGTGTTTGTCGTCGTTCTAGATCAAATGGTCAAATTAGAGCAGGCCGGAAGGTTTTTAATCAAGATGAGGAAATGTTTTTAATGGAGAACGGTGCCGGTGATGTCACAGCTGGAAGTCAACGCCGATATTGGCGAATCAAAATCATCGTTTTTCTTTCTCGTCTCTTTTCAGTGCATTTTTGCGTCCTAAGTTGGGAAAACAATATGAAGCATCTTGCGTGGTAAGTCATTGTAATATTGCCATATGATGAATAAGTACATAATCTGTTTTTGCTTTAATTCACCTGCAAATCAAGTGCACTCTTCATTTTGCATTTAGCAAATTAGTTTTGCCCGCTTGCTTCCTCCTATTACCCAGGAGCCAGAACTCATATCCATAATGATGCCTGGCCAGATCCCCTGGGATCGACAAAGCTGCCACTGTCTCTCCCATGGGCCTGGCCTCACTTGAGACCATGGTAGACAAAGTCAAAGAAAGAGGCTTTGGTTCATGTCTTATGTGTCTCCTCTGCTTTTCTCTGGCTGCCTCTCCAGTCCTTTGAGCGAGTCCTGGTGGAGAATAAGCTCCACGGGTTGTCACCGGCCCTGTCCGAGGCCATCCAGAGCATATCCCGCTGGGAGTTGGTCCAGGCCGCCCTGCCGCACGTTCTCCACTGTACTTCCATCTTACTCTCCAATAGGAACAAACTGGGTGAGGATACCCCTGCTTTATCTCGGATCTGTCCATAAAATAAATGCAGTAACAACAAAAAGTTAGATACATTCGTTTTCATGAAACCCCCAAGCGCTGGCGTGAATAATTAAAAAACGTGATAGTTGTTCCAGTCGCTGATTGTGTCGTGGTACAGTTGCCGGACTTGGGTGCGGGCAGCGAGGGATCAGTTCACACTCAGTGGCGGTGTGCATCAGAATCAGAATTAGAATCATCTTTATTGGCCAAGTATGTAGAACACATAAGGAATTTGTCTCCGGGAGTACAGGCTACACTCATATCATCATGTGGGTGTGAATGGTCCTTTGTCTCTATGCGTGCCCTGCGACTGACTGCCGACTAGTTCAGGGTGCAGTCCGCCTTCTGCCTGAAGTCAGCTGGGATAGGCTTAAGAACAAACCTTTATAAACGATGAAATGCAAGTGCACTTACTGGATACATACTATTCAACAACAGTTTAACAAATGTACTGTACTGGATTTTCTAAATGTTTAAGCCAGTGTTGCAATATGTGAACTTTTTTTTCTGTTATTATTAACTTCCTATTAAAGGGAGGCAGCATACCTTTACTGGTAATCATACCACACTTTGAGAACTACTTGCTTGTATTCATAATTAAAACCATAAATATACCACAAACTATGATCCCAAAACACTTTGCATTTTTAACTCATCGCGTATTACTAAATCCAGGCTGAACTTAGAGTAGCTCCTCCCTAACATACAAATATTTTAGCATCTTATTCAAGATATTTCACTTCAACACTACTTCCTAGACATCAATTATTATTTTCTTATTAGCTGGGCCTTTGGCATCATCTTATGGCATATTCCAGAAAGTTCCAGAAAGTACAAAAATCCCATTAGTTGAGGGGTTCCCTGGGAAAATGCACATACTATCAAGCTGGTTTTCATGAGCAATTGGCAGCGTATACCACAAAAGGGTATTGTACAAATTTTTTTTTTTAATTATGTAATAACCCCAGGATATTTCATGCAAACAAGATTCAAGTGATACATTTTGTCCCCATATTGTCTCCCATGTCTGCCTTCAGTGTAAAATTGTGGCATCAACTGTTGCCTTTTGACCTCTGGCAGGTCATCAGGACAAACTGGGCGTGGCTGAAACCAAGCTGCTCCATACGCTGCATTGGATGCTGTTGGATGCTGCCCAGGAGTGCAACCACGAGCCCAGCCTGGGTCACGCTTGGTCTGCCGGCGGCAGTGGCGGCGGTGCATTCCTACAGCCCGTTGGAAACCAAGGCTCATCTCCAGGTGCACCCGGCTCCTGCTCCAGCTCTGCCTTTGGGGGGTCAGGCCCACAGCACGGCAGCTCCCAGCTCGAGGAGGATGAGCACGCTCGCACCAAGTTGTTCCACAAGAGCATGGCCACCGTGGAGCTGTTTGTCTTCCTCTTCGCACCACTCATTCACCGGATCAAGGTCATTTCACACCCGAACATACATTCTTCCCCAGTAGGCTCTTTTGCACTACCAGAGACAAGTGAAACAGAACATTGTCATGTCATAGATGCTGCACTAGTAATAACATAAAGTATTCCTATAAATGAGTAAATAATAATAAAGTACAGATTCCAAGTATGCAACATTTGTGCAGGAGTCCGACTTGACCTTCCGTCTAGTCAGCGGTCTCATTATTTGGCAGCCAATGTGGGAGCACCGCCAGCCTGATATCCCCGCCTTCACTGCCCTCATCAAACCGGTCCGTAACATCATAACAGGTGAATAGAAACCACCTTTCAGCCCTTGAGATGAAAGAAAGATATATATTTTTTTCTTTTTAATTTACTTTGCTTGCTTCACCAGCAAAGCGAAACTCTCCAGTTATCAACCAATGCAGCCCACGTGGGTCTGGAAACCCTGGTTCGATGGTGAGTGTTTTCAACAGTTTTGTTGAATCAGAATGCATACACTGGTTCCGTGTTGATTGGCTGTGCTCCGGGAAGA